GTATCAGGAATTCTTTCAAAAAGAAATTCTCGGGCCCCATCCCAACATAGGCTCTGCCTCGGACAAGCATAGCATAGTGTTGAAACGCTTCCACCATCATACGACTGATCTTACGTCCTTCTTCAGGTTACCACCCAAAATATTAAATCGAAACGAGTATACTTACGGTGCCCCCTGGTATAATTCTCAGTGCAAACAAGCAAGACAGCGCCTTCGTGCTATATATAATGTATATAAGACCTCCGATGCATCTACTCTGCCAGCTAGTTATGCACAAGCCAAGCAAGTTTACAAACGCACGCAGAAAATTGCCAAACGTGAGTGGCAACATAATCGTTGGCAGGCTTTGATTACTGCTTCAAAACCACACAGATCCAGGGAATTCTGGTCTTTGATTAACAGAAGGGGGAGGAAATACCCAAGGGCAGTCATCCCTGCACCGACATGGGAATTGTTCCTGAAGAAATGTTTCTCACAGGCAGATGCTCCCTCCGACCATCTGATGCATCTGTTTACCCACCTACCTATTTGGCCTCCCACCGATCCTGACGAAATAGCCAAGCTAATAGCCCAGCTGAAACCGGGCAAAGCCCCAGGGCCCGACCTGATCCCTGCTGAAGCCATCAAACTACACCCAAAATGGTGGGCTGGCATCTTGGCCAAAACCTTCGATGCAATCAACGCTTCTGGTCTCATCCCCAAAATATGGAAGGAGGCCATTATAGTACCAATTCATAAAAAAGGTTCTCCAATGGAGCCGGAAAACTACCGTAACATCAGCCTCCTTTTGATCATAGGGAAAATTTATGACAGCTTTTTGCTGACTAAACTATTGCGATGGGTAGATGAGACTAACCAGATTGACCACGAACAAGCAGGGTTCAGAATTAAACGTTCTACAACCGACCATGCGATAGTTCTTTACCATCTGGCACGGAAGTACTCCTCCCCTCCCCGGGGCTACCTCTGTGCTGCCTTCTTAGATCTAAAGGCAGCCTTTGACAGCGTTCCTAGAAATATTCTTTGGGAGAAACTTGCGAAACAGGGCATTGATAGAAGACTCTTATGGCTTATAAGTCAGCTCCACGAAGGTACCCTTGCCAGAGTGAGACTTACTCCTGCGGGCGACCTCACAAATTCGATACCAATAAACAAGGGAGTGCGCCAAGGATGTATATTGGCTCCCTGCCTATTCAACCTATTCATCAGCGACATGCGAGCACCCCTAGTCAACTCATCTCCAAGTACACACGCGCCTAGACTAGCGGATTACCGCTGTCCACTCCTTTTATATGCGGACGACGCGGTAATTCTATCTTATACACGTGTTGGACTAACCAGAGCTCTGAAGATCTTTGCCACGTATTGTCAACTCAACCAATTAACCATCAACCATGTTAAATCCAAGATTCTGATTTTCGCCAGAAGCCGGAGATTATACGAATGGAAGCTTGGTGGAGCAAAAATAGAGCAAGTCCTAAAATTTCAATACCTAGGAGTTATTTTTCAATACAATTTGGGGTGGAAAGCACAAATTCAACACCTACTTAACAAGGCCAAAACTCTGTCATATGCGCTCCTCCGATTTTTCTTTTCGGATGGAGCTTTGCATGTTCCCTCGGCCCTAAAGGTGTTCAAGGCAAAAGTGGTTGCCGTGCTTGCTTATGCTGCCCCGCTCTGGGCCGTGATGACAGATCTTGCTCCTCTTGAGACTCTGCAAAACCAATTCCTACGTCGGCTCCTGATGCTCCCCCTGTGCGTAAGCAACGCAGCCATGCGACTAGAATTGAAGATCGCATCCTTAGAAACTTGCCTGTGGAAGCAAGTCTTCAATTATTGGTTATCATTGTGGCATAGATTACCAGACCATTACCTTGTCCAATGCTTATGGCGAGATGAATTCTCTAGCCTTTGGACTAGTAGAATTCATGCCAAACTCCTGAGTTATGGAATCTCTCCCTCAGATTCCCTAAAACTAGATCAAATCACTGCTCAAAGACTGATCAGCCAAAGACTGGATGACATCGACTTACAGCGAAATTATACGCTGGGGGGAGGTGTTTGTTCGCCCCAGAACATTGGTATCACTTTAACTTACTGCGTTCCATCATACCTCTCCTCCCTTTCGACTGTTGCCCATAGACTGGCCTTCACCAAAGCGAGGTTTAACGTTTTCCCCTCCAATGTCCTGAGACATAGATTCTCAAAGGGCCAAGCCTCCGCCATGTGCGAATGTGATAAGGAGACGCCGGAGTCGCTCCAGCACATTATGTTCACTTGCCCCTTGTTCAATGTGCCACGGGCAAATTTGTTGGGATCAATCATACAGAAACTAGAGGGTACCCCACCAAAATTCCACCTTGCCCAAATCCTGCAGGATAAGGATACCCATACGACCCTGAAAGTGGCTAGGTTCCTGGTCGCTGTCCTTACCCAAAAGCGACGCCAAGGAGCACTACAAGCTAATTAAGGCGTAGTATGCCATCCCATCTTATAGTATTTTAATTGTTATAGTGGTGTTTTAGCGGCTGTTTTTTCCCACGTGCACAAGCTGTTATTTATGTGTTGTTTTTATCTGTATGGGCCTATGGCCGTAATAAATTTTCTTTCTTCTTTCTTCTTCTTCATGTGCACTTACTTTAGAGTAAGCCCCATTGAACTTTGCCCTCTGCAATCTTCTTGAATGCTTTTGTTCAGTACCCTCAGCTTTCTTAGGTAGACCTTTGACAAACTGTTTTGAAGGCCAGCTAACTGCCAAGGATTGCTACAATCATTAAATCACAAAGTTCAAACATTGTCCAGGGCTTCAGGGGAAGCTAGCAAGATGATTATTTGACACATAGGCCAACTGTGATTAATTTGGTGTAAGCGCTGAGGAAGGGAGTTTCCCTGCTTTTGTCTGTTTTTTCAGCCATGAGATTAAAGTACGTGCGTTGGATGCTAGGGCTGCAGATTATTTTTCTGACAGATGCTCTGGACCTTTAAGAATGACGCAGCAGGCAGCAATTCAACAGGCAATGCTATCCCTCATCACTTTATGTCCATACAAAATAAAACTTAAATTTCTGTCTGCCTTGTAGCTGTTAAAAGCTCAATACAACTGTCGGGGAGCGGTGGTGTTAAAATGACAACTATAAACTAGAATTCTGAACAATGTGACAATTGTCTAGGTATGCCTAGGTATGCTATGATATGCCTCAGTTTAATCACTTCTGAACTCGAGACTGGATTAGTTGTTTAGCCTGGTAGGAATTACCCAAAGGGGATGAAAAAGGGGAACCAGGATCATGGTGACAGTTGTACTCACCACCACATGAAATGTGTAAGCCTGGCATTTGCTGGGACTGATGCCTGATAGCATTGGTACCCAGCATGTAGAAGGATAATGGCTAAGGTCACACATGCTATAATTCATATAGAACCTGCTGTGTGTCTTCTACTTCAGGGCTGGGGGACCTGCGGCCACCCAGATGTTGCTGGACAACAACCAGGGCTGTCCCAAGACCATTTGCTGCCTGAGACAAAGAACAGGATGGCAATTCCCACCCCCCCAATCTGTTTCATAATAAATAATAAAGCATCCATTTTCTTTTCACAAATGGAAAATTCATTTCTTTAGGATGTCCACCTGTCAGGGCCTTCAAATGTTAGGGCTTCCTAAAACACTTTGGTGTGCCAAGCCGCTTATCTCCTGACCTGAACTGGCCTGGTCACAAGGAGACTGCGCCAGTGCGACATGTTCCATGGTGCATGTTCATTTGCTCTCCTTCAACTACCTTTGCTCATCTTGTCTATTTAAAACATAAATCGTTTGAGGTGCAGTCAATTGCTCTAAGGGCTTTCCTCTGGAAAAAATGTCTCTGGTGCCAGGTCTCTGCTTTGAAATGCTTAACAAAAGCCCTGAGCAAGTCAGAATGCTTTTAGATCTCTTCTGAATAGTAACCCACCCACTCACACACAACCACTTAGATCAGTGAGAACAGATTTTGGGTAGAGAGTTTTGAAAGGACTCCTCTCCCTTTAATAGCTACTTCACACTTCAGTGTCATCTAGGGTGATGCATTGCCAAAAAAGTGCGGTCCATCAGGACTTCTCAATTGTACCTTTGCATGCACGCTAAAACCCAAGACTCTGCTCAGGTGACCTGATTAGTCTAGTCAGGTTAACTGTTGGTTTTATTTGCAAGCTTCTTTGTCTTCACTTTTTTCCAAACCAGCTAGTTTATATTTGCATTTGGCTTTATTGGTTTTTAAATGCAATTATCCTTGATTTCTCCCTAGAATCTTCTGCATATGTTTAAAACCATGGAGTTAAGCCATGTTCATTGTGTTCTAAGGTTATTTTGCAAGTACACTTCTTAAGTTATGTGCAGAATTTTTGTAAATTCAATACCCCTACTACATGTGGAAGACAATGGCTGGTTCTGTGTGATAGTTGGGGAAATGATTAGAAAGCTCTGACATCTGCTATCTGGAAGACAATGTCATTATAATCAAAGCCATTAAGTCATCAATAAAGTGAGCTGAATTAAATTACTGGCAGCGGACATCACCCTGCTGAAATCAGTTGCCAATTGATTCTGATGAACAGTGATACAGCATATTTGACAGGAGCAAGAACCCCAGCATTTGTCAGGTCAGCACAGTGAGAAAGTTATATATCCTGATTGCCTGAAAGCGAAGTTCATGTCCTCAATCAGTAGTAATAGCTGCGGATCTAGCTGTTCTAGCTCTGGATCAGGCTTCCTCAAACTTGGTCCTCCAGATGTTTTGAGACTACAATTCCCATCATCCCTGACACTGGTCCTGCTAGCTAGAGATCATGGGAGTTGTAGGCAAAAAACATCTGGAGGGTTGAGTTTGAGGAAGCCTGCTCTGGATCCACCTAATATCCAACTGCTGCCTCTGGGTTGTATCTGACTTAATCACACTCGGAGTAGACCATGGATTTCCATGATTCTTCTCTGAGTATGGTTTAGTTGGCTGCATCTCTCTGAATAAATCAGGGCCTACTTGTTTCATTGTCTATCTTACCCATCCCTAAGGTCTGAGTCAGGTAAAAATAAGTTTTACTAATCCAATTAAAATGTCCATTGAAACAGGACAAAAATGAATCCGCTCTTTAAAAATGCACAACTCTATGCTGGCTGAAATGTGATTCCCTAAAGGTGCATTATTGCTTAAAAACACCTCACCTGATATTCTCTCTCTACATAATATTTTCTTTCTCTACAGAACATGTTTTCCCCTTATACTTTCATAGGGGTAGCCCACCACAGAATTTTGCTTTTTCTAGTAGTTTATCCCTTATAAAACAGCAGTCATGTCTTATCTGCTTAGTTTCAGAACATTTGGGCACCTGAGGTGAACGACAAAATGGTACCTCCCTCCATCCCAGGGAGAAAGGGGCGAGTAGAGATATATACCAGGAACAGAGAGGGGAATATACCTTGGTCAATGCAGGTGACAAATGTTATCTGCTACAATATTGTGAAATGTACAGAATGCTTTGAAACAGGACATGCTAGAAGCAGATTATTTGGTCAATAGCTATTGGCTGAAATAGGTAGCACATTTTCACAACTTCCCAGGCTATAGTTCAAACAAAATTAAAAGCCGAGGCCTAGTTCAAACATAACACTAAAGCAGTGGTTCTCAAGCCTTTATTTCTGGGCCACAGTTTCAGAATAAAATTGTCTTGAGCCACACTGAATTTTGAATTGATAAGAAAAACATTAGAAAACACAATTCGGACTGTCCTCAGTATCACTTGATGCTCTTGCTCTCATTTTGAAAAGATTTCTATACATATTAGGCAAAATTTTTAAAAAAAATACTTGGATACTATACTATACTACAATGAAATGTTTGGTGCTTCTTTGCTTGTCCTTGAATCTTCCCATCACTCTCCCATCACTTGTCTTCCTCTCCAGCCACACCAGGCTGGTGCACTACACCCTTTGAGAACCACTGCATTAAAGCATAATTTAGTGCTATGTGGATGAGCTTGCTTGAACCTTTGATACGTGATTCAAGGGTAGAGATTGTGAGAAGTCATCTTCCAAAGCAATCCCACCCCGCAAATTTGGAGCCTTCTTGCCTCTAGCCTAGGCATCACCCCTTTTCCTGTTCCCGCTGGGGTCTCTTTTGCTGCGCCTGCGGCTCTCTCCGGCCAACGCTGCCAATGACAGATCTTAAAACTTGGGGTCCAGTGAGATTCGGCAATCGCAGCACCTTGCGCCTGCTGGACCTCCTGAGCGGAGCGGGTTGTGTCTTGCTCCTGGTGAAGTAGGGTGAAATGTGAGGATGTTGCAAGCCGGTGCAGAGGCAGAAGGTCTGGCCGAGTTGGTAGAGCACGGCTTTCTCTGTCAGAGGCTTCTTCCAACCCAGTGGAACACCAGTATCATACGCTTCTTAGATGGGTTGGACATGCTGAAGAAGGTGCTGGAGGCCCAAAGACCAGGGTGACTTCAGAGCAGAGGACACAGCAGACAGTTCCCTATCAATGGTGCCAAATCCAAACAAATGTTAGCTCCAGTCTTCTTAAATCGATCCAGCAATTATGAACGTTCAATAAGGGATTAATTCCTCAGGCAGTATGAAAAGACTTTCTGTGGC